CCTGAGTATCACTGGCTCTTGATCATATGGTACCTCTTGAAATGGTTGAACATTAACCATTTCCTTTTGGTACAGTGACTCTCTGTATTCCTTCCATCTTCTCTTGATGCTTTCTGCATCATTCAATAATTTGCCCAGAGAATCTTTCAATAATGAAATTTGAGGTTTGAATTTTTTCTTCAGGTCTCCCAGCTTGAGAAATGCTGAGCGTATTCTTCCTTTTTGGTTCTCTGATTCCAAATCTTTGCACATTTTATTTTAATATTTGACTTTATCTTCTTGAGCTGATCTTTGAAATTTTCTGTTCGGCTTTTGGACCTCCTTATTTCTTCTATTTGCTTTAGCATCTCTACACTGGAGAGCAAGTTTCAGAGTCTCTTCTGACATCCATTTGGACCTTTTTTCTTTTCTTCTTAATGTTTTTTTGCTCTGTTCACGTATGATGTTCTTGATGTCATCCCACAACTCTTCTGGTCTTCGGTCTTTAGTGTTTAATTCATCAAATCTGTTCTTCAGATGATCTGTAAATTCAGGTGTGATACATTCAAGGTCATATTTTGGCTCTCGTGGACTTGTTTTTATTTTCTTTAGCTTCAGTTTGAATTTCCATATGAGTAATTAATGTTCTGTTCCACAGTCTGCCCCTGCCTGGCCTTGTTTTCACTGATGATATGGAGCTTTTCCATCTTCTGTTTCCAAAGATGTCATCAATTTGATTTCTATGTGTTCCATCTGCCAAAGTCTATGTGTATAGTCACCTGTTATGCTGTCTAAAGAAGGTATTTGAAATGAATAAATTGATTTTGCAGAATTCTATCATGCATTCTCCAGCATCATTTCTATGACCAAGGTCATATTTTCCAACTACTGGTCCTTCCTCTTTGCTTGGGCTCCACCTGTTGGTGCATGGATATTATCCTGTCACAAACAGCGTTGTACCTCATGATTGATCTGCGTATGTTCTTTTTGACAATGAATGCAACACCATTCCTCTTCAATTTGTCATTCCCGGCATAGTAAACCATATGGTTGTCAGAATCAAAATGGCCAATACCAGTCCATTTCAACTCACTAATGCCTAAGATGTTTATGCATTCCATTTCATTTTTGACAACTTCCAACTTGCCCAGATTCATACTTTGTATCTTTATCTTCCATGTTCTGATTTTCAATGGATTTTTACAGCTGTGTCTCTTCATTTTGAGTTGTGCCCCATCAGCAAATAAAGGTCCCGTGGGCTTTTTTCCCAAGGGCTTTACTCTATGTGCGTCATTACGGTCAGCTCTACTTTGAGCAGGCAGCTCTTTCCCAGTCACATTTTGAGTGCCTTCCAACCTAAGGGGCTCATGTTCCAGCACTATATCTAACAGTGTTTCTCTGCTGTTCATAAGGTTTTCAGTGACTAAATATTCGGAAATAGTTCAACACTCCTTCTTCCTAGTTTGTCTTTGTCTGGAAGCTCATCTTAAACTTGTCCACCATGGGTGACCCTGCTGGTATTTAAAATACCAGTGGCATATCTTTCAGAATCACAGCAACTCACAAGCCACCACAGTATGACAAACTGACAGATGAGTGTTGGACAGAATTTAGAGAAATTTTAATAAAAGTATAATTTCAAATATACATTATCTGCTCTTATTTTGCATAAATGCTCCAGCAGAAGAAGAAAGACAAATGTTCAAATGTAAATTTTACAAGTTTTACAATTGTAATCACATTTTCAATATATAACTAGAATGTATAAATAAGGAAGCTATTGTGAAGAAGTGGGAAAAGAAAGACTACAATTTTTTATACATCTTAGATTTTATAGGGATTCCTTATTATAGCACTCAGTAATTTTCATAGAAGAGACCATTTAATACTTACAAAAAATGCTTGATTTTTTCTTTATTTACTTAACATTTATGTAGAATAAACATGAATCCATTATACCATACACTTATAATCTTAGTAGCAATAAATGTCAACATTCTTCTTGTCCCCAAGGAAGTAATGGAAATTCAAGCATTTTGTTGGCAGTGCCTATGATTAGATAGAATTTAAAATTTTACTGTTTTTTTTTTCTTTCTTTCTTTCTTTCTTGGTATACTGGGTATGTTATTGGTTTATACTGCAAATGGCATTTGAATGAAAATCAGTACCTGAGCAGCTGGACTCATCAAGTTGGAAATCAAGGCAATTGACAAAACCATCACAACGTTGATGAGTTGGAATACAGCTGTTAGAGGAGTTGCATGTCAATGCTCCATTAGAACAGCTCTTATTGGCTGAAAAAAAGAATGATCATGGTTAAAAGTATGTCTTGTTTTCATTGAACCTCTTCTAATGAAATACCAACACAGTGTATTATATCATTCTTCATTTATTTTAGCCCTGTATTTAAAAAAGAGAATTGTTTTTTAAGAAAACTTCAACTCAACAGTAGTGTTCCATTAAGTTGAAAAGAATTTCCCAAGAAACATTGTGGTTAGAATCATTTCCCAGATGTGCATTATGTAAGGAGCCATGGTAATTCAGTGGGCTGCTAGCCACAAGGTTGGCGGTTCAAACCTAGCAGTTGCTCCATAAGAGAAAGATGAGGCTGTCTGCTCCCTTAAAAAATTACGGTCTCAGGAATTCTACAGAGCTGTTCTACTCTATCTTAGAGGATCAATGTGAGTTGGGATGAGCAAAATGGCAGTGGGTTTCATAGGTTTAGTGCAACACATTCTATGTCTATGCAGAATGGATTAATTTTAGACTACGGATTAACTTTTACGTTAAGACAGACCTCTCTGAGCTTCTGCTGCTTCCTTAATCATCCTCATTTTATATACAATTGAATGGATTGTAAGCACAAATGATTTGACTATACATATATTTCCAACTGGATACAGGTTAGTCATGGGTAGTCCCTGGGTGTCTGTTAATCCTTGGTAATGATGTGATCACTGCAGCTCATTGTACTATGATCATATGCATGATGTACGTAGTTTAGTAATCTCAGTCTGTTGTTGGAGGACACAAACAGTGCCTGATTACAAGGGACCAGATGTCGATGGTTGTATGACTGATTACAGTGCTGTGAATTACTTCATATGGCTCTTTTACCCATACTCTTTGTAGCTTCTACCAATGTTTTTGCCTTGTTGGGTCTGGGTGAGATAAGGTGGAAGAAGATGCTGATAGAATTACCTGATTCCATTGTGAGTGGTTAGCAGAGTTAATTGTGATTGTAAAAATGTGGAACTTTAACATGGGTTTGGAATGAACCATTTCAGAAGTGGTGGTGGTGAAGGTATGTCGTGGAGTTGGTTCTGACTCATAGCAATCCTGTATAGGGTTTCTGTAAATCTTTACGGGAGCAGAAAGCCTCACCTTTCTCCTGTGGAACCTCTGGTAGTTTTGAACTGCTGACCTTGAGATTAGCAGCCCAACTCACAACCACTATGCTACCAGAGCTTCTTATTTCAGAAGTAGGAAGGGGGACTCTCACTACTATCTATGAAGCGTCAGGAGTGGAATGTGTCCTTTGGACCCTGAGATCCTTGTGTATTAAACCCCCTTGACCCAGGGACAAAAATGGAGACACCAAAGAAGTGACAGAGAAGGAGCTGCAGCAACAGAACCAAGAGCCAGAGCACCGGATGGAGCAGTGGGCTTCACAGCCCATGAAGAACAGAAAATTTATTGACTAGGGGTAGATGGTTTTGCTTGTAGAGTAGGGTGCTTCAAAATACTTAATTGGGGGCTAGTTTGCTGACCCAATGAGCTAGAGCCAAGTGTCTTTAGGTTGAGGGTTATGGTATAGTGGTTTGCCCTGTGGGCATTTATCGGTAGCCCTAAAAGAACTTTGTAACATTGCTGGAGAAGGACAGAAGGTAGGCCTAAGGACTAAGGGGCAGAGATAGGCCTGCCTGTAGGCATGGCAAAGAACTGTGCCCTGAGCCTTTTCGGATGCTGCATTGTAACTTGTTTATTTTCCTAATAAACGCCATAACTGTAAGTTTGGTGTCTGAGTTGTGTGTGGCCATTGCAATGAAGTATTGAACCTAGCCGAGTAGAGTGTTGTGGGGAAGGATATTTGGTGTCATTTTTTCCCCACTGGTTTTTAATATTTCCAAGAAAATATTTCAAAATATTCCCATCAGAATCACTGACAACTGTTCAATAGCTATCTAGTCTTGCAAAGAACTCTGCTTCCCTTGCATGCATAAAATACAGAACCAAACTCACTGCTGTTGAGTTGTTTCGGACTCATGGTGACCCCATGTGGTACAGAGTAGAACTGTTCCATAGGGTTTTCCTAGCTGTGATCTTTGTAGAATCAGGTTACCAGGAGTTTCTTCTCTTGTGCCTCAGCAGTTCAACCTTAAGTTTAGCAGATAATGCTACACTCCTTGTGCCATCCTTGCATCCTACTGATTATTATTTCATTTACATTTGCTTTATCTATTGGGAAGCTTAATTATTAATCATAAAACCCAATCTTTTTGTTCCTCCCACCTATTCTTTAACTTTTTTTTTCGGATTACAGCTCTGTATAAAGCAAAAGTGTTTTAGTCTTCTTTGATGAGTAGGGACTGCACCAGAATCCCTTGTTTCAAGTCACCAGAACATTTGAAACAGGCTTAGTTTCTGTTTTTGTTTCCTTTAGGACATGGAAGCTTGTGCTTGCTTCAGAACCAGGAAGACTGCAAGCTTGTTGCTTCAGATTTGATATTAATTGTGTACTTTTATTCTGAGTCCATTTAGATATTTATCTTGTCTCTTAGCCTTTTTATGTGATAGTGAAGTCACTGCATTATCTTGTCAGTGAGTCTGATTCAGGATAGATTTCAGAAGCACCAAATAATAATGATATTGACAGGTGCATTTTTTCCTAACTCTGTACCTGAGTCCTAGGGTTGGCAGAGGTAAGGTAAAGACAGTAGTGGACAGTTAGCACCTTCTGGCACTTAATCTAGGTTCAACAAGAACAACACTGCTTTTATCTAGTTTGCTCAATGGTGTCATATATAATCTCTTATTTGAACATTTTGCTCTAACCCTGCTGTTAAAATTGAAAATGATTGATCTGGGCAATTACTTGTACTAAACTAAAGGTAACTATCTCTCAACCCTTTTAAGGTAAACTAATCATTTAGAAGATTCAGCGATAAATATCCCCATGTGTATACAGTTTTCCCACTACATCACAAATGATTCTTTTCTTCAAATATAATGAGATATTAGTAAGAATTATTTATAGGTTATGAGGTGTCATAGGTTACTGACACAATTTAGGTTGAAAAATGACTATCAGAGTATATTTTTAAATGAGAAATAAAAATGATATTTTTGAGTACATATTTCAACAGACTAAAAATACTGGATTGAAAAAGTTAAAGTGATACTTGCCATTGAACAATCCTTCCTAAGGTTCTATACCAACAATTTACACAAATAAATATTACTGAACTCTCACTGAATGTATGGACCTATGCTTAGCTCTATGGAATGTGCAACAGAAGAATTCTTTTAAATGAGGAACATATAAAAACAATAATAAAAAAATAACAATACAAGAGTTATTAATAGTTCATAATAGTAATACAAGAAATGTCATAGGCCAGACTCAATTCAGTTGGCAAAGCATTGGTATAGGTAAGAAATAATGCAAAAACTAAGTTTTTTGTTTAAATGTCAGGAGGTCTGTTAAAGCTGAAAGAGTGAGCAAAATTTTCAAATATATTTTAAATTTTAATTTTTACAGTGGAAAGCTATTTAGCAGAGTTGGAATAAGGGGATATTTTTAGTTAAGGAACTATCACTTCAGTTTATAAAAATTTAATGTTTCCAATAGAGAGACAATATTAAATATAAATTAGTTTTAAATGTTTAACTTATCACAGGCTTTTCTCTAAACATCCCAATCATTAGAAAAACTTATTTCTGGAAGAATAAAAGGTTTTAAAATATCAATTGCCATTGGTTTCCCTACATAAAGTTGTAAACATCTCAGAATCTTTATTGCTATCAACATTTTTAAATGTTCAAGTTTCTCCAAAACAAGCAAATATACAAATCTTTCTTTCTATTCTACATCCCACTATAAATGCCAAGTTCTTAAAAGTGTCATCTACAATGCATATCTCCTTTTATTATTTCCCATTTGCTCTTCAAAACATGGACCTCAGAATTCTGCTCTACCACTTCACAGAATTTCTTCTCTCCAAAATTACCACTTCTGCGATTCCAAATCTGTATACTTTTAGGCCTAATCTTATTTGCTCTCTCAGGTGCATTCCAATCTGTGACTATTCTATTTTCCTTAAGATTTTCTACCTGTGACTTCAGATGGTGATGGATTTTGGTGGATCTCCTATTTTCACGGCCAATTCTCAGTGCTTTCCAGGGTACTTTAGACGTTCCTTAGGATTCTGCTTGCTGCTCTTTTTCCTTTTTATATTATCTCATCTGTATCCACAGCTTCAATTACAATGTGCTGATGGCCATGCATTTTTATATACCTTGCTTCACCCTTTCCTGTGCTCCAGATACCCATTTCCAAACACATTCTGAATATCCCCATGTGGATGTGTTAAAGATAACGCTAATGCAACGTGTCTTAAAATGAAGCCATAATCTTCTCCAAGATCCTTCTATTTTCTCCAGCTGAGGATATGGAACAACATCAGTTGCCTAAATCAGAAATTGGGAACTATTCCAGATTTCTTTCTCTTCTTAATTAGCTGTATAGGTTTTAAATCTCTTATTTTTATCTCATGCCATTAGCTTGTCAATCTATATATATTCCAACTGTAAACCCCCATTTTTCATTCCTACCTATTCCAAACCCAAACCAAACTCACTGCCATCTAATCAATTCCAATACATAATGACCCTATGCAGAGTTGTCATTTCTGGTGCTGAGTCAGTTCCAACTCATACTGACCTTTTATAGGGTTTCCAAGGACTGGGTGGTGAGGTTGAATCACTTATTGTCTCTCTAGTACTTCTCCATTCAAGTAAAAATATCTCTATATTATGTATCTAGTCTTTCCAAATTTGGCTCTGAAATCACTTTTCTTGATAAAGTTGACAGACTTCCTAGCACCACATCTAGGAAATATACTATGTGTTCTTTACTGTTTTGTTTATATCTATATTTGAACTGATCATATGCTATTCCCAGCTTCAACTCCTTAGTCTCCTTCAGGAATATATAACATATCCATCACCTAAGCTAGAAAGGAGTCCTGGTGAGGTGCTGTGGGTTAATGCGCTGGACCACAAGGTTGGTGTTCAAGCTTATCAGCTGCTCCTGGGAAACCCTATACAGGGTCGCTATGAATAAGAACCAACTGAATAACAACAAAAGCTAGAAAAGTATCATATCCATTTGCATCATCAATGTCCAATATAATATGTGGTATAAATTCGGTCCTTAATGAAGGTTTATGAAGAAATGAATGAGGAAACATGGGTTAACAAACTGCCATCCCAAATAAATAGAGAGTCCAGAAACAACAACAAACCCTTAAATGCCTTTAAATGTTCGGTGAATTGTGACCATTGAATGCTTTTAATCTACAATTTTATATAACATGTTCCCCAGTTTATCGTCACACAACTTATCCTATAGATGTTAATGGCAATGACGTTTTAGAGATAAATGAGCGGTTATCTCATGGTACCTCTCTACTCCTAATGCACATTCATTTCATTTAGGAGCAACATTTCAAGTTACTGCCTAAACGCCAATTGCTGAAATAATGGCAAAAAGTATAAAATTCTAGTACTTTCCTAAGCTTCTCTTTTAATAGAATTCTTATGTGAAGGCAAATATCATATGACTTTACATATTAAACTTAATAGGATGTCTATCAACCAAATGGCATCAGAGGTCTGATGAGAACAGGGTTAAGTAATTTGGCTGACTTTCTCTTTATCATTCACCTCCATTTGTTTATCTTCATTCCTCTGGAAAAAGTATTATGAGATGTGACAAATGGGCTTTATTACAAACAAAAATATACACACAAATACAAACATATGTAGAAAATTACAGTTATGTAGAAAAACAATCTCTGAGATTAAACAGGGAAAAAACTTCTCTGATTTCAGGATTAAAGTCTTTCAACATTTAAAGACTATCTCGTTTTCTTTCATTAGTCTTTATTCCCTTTCCAAAATGTTTTCATAGTTTTGTAAGCCCACTCACCAGCTGCTCTTTGGAAACCCTATACAGAGTGGCTATGGGTCAGAATTGACTCGACAGCATTTAACAACAAACAACAACAATATTAATCAAGGTACTGATATGGCCTTATAATTCTCAGTGCTCCACACTTCCAGTCACATTCCAAACTGCTTTGTACTACTATTACTAAAAAACCAAGTATAATCATTAACACTTGGTTTTTAGAACTCTGTCACTGCAGCCATCACCAGAAATCAGAACACAGTAAAATAGAGTAGAGTAGATTAATAGTAGAGTCCTGGTGTGGCACTGTGTGTTAATACGCCAGACTGCAAAGGCGTTTGAACTGCAAGGTTGGTGGTTCAAGCTCACCAGCTGCTCCTTGGAAACCCTATACAGGGTCGCTGATGGCACTTAACACCAACTAGAGTAGAGCAGAGCAGAGTAGAATATATTAAATGGAGTCCTGGTGTGGTAGCATAAGCCCTGGACAGTTAACTACAAGGTCGGCAATTCAAATCTACCAGCCACTCCGTGGAAACACTATATAGGGGTGTTATGAGTCATCACTAAGTCACATGTAACATGTAACAACAACAACAAATATATCCAAAAAATAAAATTTTAACAGTACTTGGACTCCATCGTGATTATGGGCTCATCTAAAAGATTTATGGAATTACTTATTCTCCATTAAAAGTTTTTCTCCTTGTTTGGCTAAATTTATAATAATAAAGATTGGAGATACTAAATGTAGGTGTGGGCATTTTGGAGATGTTGAATGTAGGACTAACTTTCACAATCCTGCAAAATAGATATTATTAATATCATTTGATGGTATCAATACATGGATGTATTGATACATGGATGAAGAAATTAACACCAACCGGGCTCACCTACCTCTCCCAAGACTACACAGTTAGTAAGTGGTAAAGGTGAGATTCAAACCTATGTTCTTAATATTGATTATTCTATGAATACCATGACATCCATCCAAGTAATTATTCAGGCTCAATCCCTAACTACATACATTTACTACAACGGCTATTTACTTACAGCCTTTGTTTGAGCCATCTCCATGAACATCTATGGTGGGAAGAAATGATCCTTATACTTATAGCCTCCATTCACATAAAGAGTGGTTTAAAAAAGATAACAGCTATATAGGAGCATCTCCCATATACGTGACCCAGACACAATGAAAAATGAAATTAGATAAGTGCAGCAGAGATTTGTTTGACCACTAATGAAATGTTTCCAGAAATGCTAAGGGCTACATACTTCGTTTAACAGCCACACAATATGTTATTGATAATGTGATCATGGTAAGACTCTAGAGAACTTTGTTTAGTCTGTCAAGTTTTCTCTATCATTTCAAAACAGCATCCCTTCCCTGGCACATTGAGTTAGTGAACATAACTCACAGCAGTTGGATTCATCTTCATTAAAGTGACAGTCAGGCACTCCATCACATAGCAGGAGGGATGGGATACACTTATTTGCAGAGCACTGGAACTCCATTTTACTGCACAGTTGAGGAGGAGGACTGAGAGAGCAATCCATTTCATCAGATCCATCTATGCAATCTTCCTGTCCATTACACCTCCCCAAGAGAGGGGCACATTGGTGCGTGTAGACACAAGAAAATTGATCAGCTTCACAAGTTGATGGCTGTGGTGTGACAGGGCCTGAAAAACAGAGCAAGTCTAGTCATTTCTCTGTCCAATGCTGAACTATTGCAAGATGTACTTAGCCTTGTGTAAACAGGAAATGTTTTAGCAATTGAAGTCAATTACTTTACAATTAGGAGTATTGTAAAACTTTGCAAAAACATGACCAAATGATTAGAGATGATGCTGTATCGTAATCTCAGAATCAATATTCTTTAAAAGGGTGGCGATGACAAAAAACAAAAACAAAACCCTGACATTTTCAACTTAAAGAAGAAAATGGATTTCATAGACTTAAGATTTTCAGATTTTCCTAGAAAGTAAAAATACATTTATCCAGCAAACTAGTCACATTGGAAAGATGCAGGCACCATTTTAGAATTTCAGCGAGTTGATGTTGTAAGATTATCACAGTTTACTCCCTCTTAGTGACCTCCACTTGGAGAATCTGACTCCTGAGACCATGGTCAAGGTTGTGTTCTACCAGAGTAGAGGTTTGGTATGGTTTTGCCACACTACACTTTGCTCCTGGCTCTTGATTATGCCACAAAGACCATGTACTACCATATCTAAGGTATACAAACACATCAGAGTATATAATCTAAGAGTATTGTGCTAATCAGAATCATGAAGATAATCTGGTTCAAATCCAAACAAGTTAATTAACAGAGGCAGCTTCTGAGGCCCACCTATATTTAAAGAGTCCAAAGATACAATGCTAGTTTGATCATTTGTTTATTACATAATACTATTGTGCAGCAAATCTTTTGAGAAACATTCCAACTAAAACTTCTAAGTTAAATTTAAAACACTCGCCAACAGTATTGACTAGCTGATGTTTCTATAGGTCAGATTATATAGTAAGTGAATATATAAGATTGTACAAATTTTCTGGAATATTATTATTTGTTGTTAAGTGCCATTGAGTTGGTTCCAATTCATAGTGACCCTGTATAGGACTTCCAAGGAGTGACTGGTTGGTTTGAACTGCTGACCCTGTAGTTCACTGTCCAGTGTTGACCCTACAGTGCCATACCAGGAGGCTGGTGGGTTTGAACTGCTGAGCTTGTGGTTCACAGTCCAGTGCTGATCCTAGAGCACCACACCAGGAGTCCAAGAACATTATTAGGGGAATGGTTATTTATTCCATATATTTTATATTCTAGCGGTTGATGGAATCAAGGAAAAAAAACAGACTTAGATGGAAGTAAAGACCAGCACAAGAACAAATTGTTTTGCTTTCTTTAGATTTTTAAACTATTATGTTATGCATAGGTTATATAGGAATGTTGTTGTAAGTACTGCTGAGTTGGTTCCAACTCATAGTGAGTCTGTATAAGGTTTTTGAAGCTTTAAATCTTCATGGAAGCAGAAAGTCTCATCTTTCTCCTGGGGAGAGGCTGGTGGGCTTGAACCATACACTTATTTCACAGTCTAGTCCTTATCATATGGAGCCACTGCACTCCCTATATAGGAATATTTTTATCCATAAAAATGGTGCTGTGAATTCATTTTATAAATGAACTTTGAGGGTTCCTCTCTTTCTCCAGCTCTCCTGGTAGTGGCGCTATTTCTAGAATGTATCTAGGATCAGAATCCATGGTCAAAGTCATGTATCTCAGAGTTATGTGGAGATGCTTAGGCCGTCTGTGTTCATGGAAGTCAGCATGTTTAACTGGAGAGTGGGGTAAACTCATGTCCCTGAGACAAGAATTCATGTCTAATTTTAACTGAGATCATAAAATCAAGCAACATATACAACTGCAGTGTACCAATACAAATATTCCCAATTCAAATGAGATGTTCAATTGGATTTATATTTTAAACCCTTATAACTAGCTCTTTTGGAAATTGACTACAGTCAAATTGATTCGCTACAGATTCTTTTTATTAAATTACTCTCACATTTAAGGAAGGATTTGTTATAGTTCTTAGTTAGTTTGGAGCCCATTCTGACCCATGGAAACCCCATGTGTGCTGAACAGAACTGCTTCATAAGTTTTGAAGGCTGTGACGTCTCAGAAACAAATGGCAAGGTCTACTGAGGTGCCTCTGGGTAGGTTTGATTCATTGATGTTTCAGTTAGCAGTCAAGTGATTAACCATTTGTTGAATGAAACATATCCTCCGAGAAACAAGTCCATTCACTGACTAGTGAGCTACATAATAATCTCTTTGAAAAGATTCTTGGTGTTCACTTTTTCTAGGCCTTGCATTTCTCAGCTCCACTGTCTATGTGGATATTGGGTCATAAAGCCCTATCAAAATTTTTCCTTCAGGATCAATGCACTCATTTGCCTATCAACTAGGTGTGTTGTCAGATAACAGCTCCCATAAGAGCTCTCCAACTTCATACTCCCTCCCAGAAACAGCACTATTCATTGAGTAGTGAATTGGGCATATGACAGCCCAGCTACTATTCCGCACTTTGGGACACCTATGAAAAACCAGTTTAGCTCCTGCATTCCCCATGGGATTAGCTGAGGTCACCTGTTGCAATGCATCACAGTCCAACTCCACCTTTTACCTATTCCTGCTTCCTTCACTCCCTTACAGAGGTTTTTTTCTTTAAGAATGTCAAATGAACCTTCTATATAGGATTATATCCTCAGTGTAAGGAACCTGGCCTACATCTTCACCCAACTACCTAAATTAAATATAACTACCTGTGTCCATTCAGTCAAGTTGGACTCATAACAACCCAATAGGACAGAGTAGAATTCCCCAGAAAGTGTTCAAAGCAGTAATCTTTATGGAAGTCAACTGTCATATCTTTCTCCTGAGAAACGGATACTGAGTTTGAACTGATGACTTCTAAGTAACTGAGTGAATGATAATTGTGCCATCAGGGCTCCTAAATTAAATAAACCTTCTTTTAGATAAAATCCTCTATGAATGAATTGCTTCTGAAAACTTCCACAACAGTATCTTTGATGCAAAAGAAACATGAATCTGTACCCTGAAGGAAAATCTAGATGGAAGGTTAGCAGAAGCAGTTCTCCACAGGTTCACCAATACTTTTAAAACACAATCGTTCTACCCAAATGTAAACTGCATTCTACTAGATGATATACTCATTTTTTTTCCCCTCAAATGATTTCCTACAGGTATTCAAATAAAAGCAATATCCCTGACAGATGCAGTACGTTTGCCGTGGGACTTAAAGGTCTACTGCTGCATACTTTCTTTAAAAAGATGTGTCCCGTCTGGTTCCTCCTTGACCTCTGGGTCTCTATCAGCCAGACTCCCAGATTAGAGGATGAGATATCCGTTCTTTTTAAAGCGTGATTGATACGTGGGATTAAGCAGAGACAGGTTTGCAGCCTCCTTGCCCTTTCTGCAAGGGCCAGGGTGCTGTCCTCCCAGAAGATAGGGGTTTCACCAGGCTGTGTTCCCAGAGAAGGAACTGCCCCCTTGCCCTTTATTTGAGGGGTGCAAAGTCCCAGACCAGAGGTTCTGCCAACCCCTCTCTACCTTCCTCCCAAGTTTCCATCTGCTGTCCCATCCTGACCCTCCACTGGCACCTCCAAATGAGAAAGGGCAAGGAGCCACCCACCACCCCCTTCCTCAGGAGGGAGGGAGAGGGGCCATGTGAATCGGATTATGACAGAGGACTCCTAGCAGTCTATCTGTACCTGCACAAGCCCCTGCATATCTAATGCACCACCAACTTCCAAGAGGCCAGAATTCTAGTGGCAGCATCTCCGCTCCCCTCAATCAATCAATCAATCAATCAATCAATAAAAAGATGTGTCCACAATGAAGAGAATTTTCCCAAAAGCTTCATTTCTATGTATTCCTGGGTATCATCCTCAGGGTTATGTAATGTCTTTCTTATGTAATTCCATTTTTAAAAAGTATTATTTGGTATCTTTTTTATAACTTGAACCACCCTCACACAAAAATTTCTCAGAACCTATATTTTACTTATAACTCATTTGTTTTCTTAAAAAGTTGCTGTTCTAATGTCTCTAACACTTTTTCAAAATGCATAAATCCAATATGTGCAATGTTTACTTCCTTGATAAATGTAGTATGCCTTGGTTAAGAACATCAGTTCATTTATTAACATATCAAGTGAACTACGCAGAATGTTTAAAACCAATGGAATTGAGGCAAAAACAGAAAATGCACAAATAAAAGGGGTAGGATCAGTCCTGACCCTGGTTAGCCACCTTGGAAATGTATGTTTTCACTCATTACAAGAGACTTACTCTGTGAGTGTGACATGTTCTGTGGAAAATTTGGGGAAAGCAAATTGCAATAATACACGCTAAGTTGGTATTGTCATCTTCTGTACCCCAAAGAGTACTTTCAAAATATGAAAGATGAGAAAACGAAAGGCTGAAAGGAATGAAGGCACGCACATATGTGGACAACGGACACAGAGGGAAAGAGCAAAGAAAGGAACGACAAAAATATACAGATACATTTGATTATCATTCTAGCTTAATGTGTGTGTGTGTGTGTGTGTGTGTACGTGTTTTATTTTTGGTTGTTTCAGTTAACTCAGTATTTATTAGGAGTGTTCTGTAAGTATACCTGTTGTTTGGAGCAGGAATAAGGAATTGTCTCTTAAGAAGGTTCCGTTTATATGTTTTAGTGGAGTGCTTTTCAAATGGAGGTTTATGAATCTCAAGTGTTTCATGAATAAAAACAGCTGTTGTTGTTGTTAAGTGTTGTAGAGTTGGTTCCGACTCATAGCGACCCTGTACAGGGTTTCTGAGGAGCAGCTGAGGAGTTGAACTACCGATCTTTCAATTCAAGCCAACCTTGAGGTCAAGTGCTAGTATGGTGCTACACCATATTATACCTATATAATTATAACCATTCAGCTGCATCATACCAGTATGCTTTTTTGGGTAAAGAAAAAATGGTGGACTTATTGTCCAGACATTGCATATAGACCACTGCTGCTCTTGGCTTTATTGAATAAATAGTGTGACAAATACACAAGCAACAGTTACCATGTGTGTTCAGCAGAAAATAAGTTAGGCAATGTTGCTGTAGAATGTAAGG